ACACATACACACACACACATATACATACACGGTTCCCGGGGCTCTGATAGATAGACACACACACACACACACACACACACACACACACACACACACACGGTTCCCGGGGCTCCGATAGACACCCCCCCACACCCCCTCACACATACACACACGGTTCCCGGGGCTCCTATGGACACACACACACACACACACACACACACACACAGTTCCCGGGGCTCCGATGGACACACACACACACACACACTCACACACGGTTCCCGGGGCTCCGATGGACACACACACACACGGTTCCACATGTCTGAGATTTTGCTGCCTATGGTTTCTTCTAGGATTTTCATGGTTTCTTACATTTAGGTCTTTTATCCATTTTGAGTTTATGCTTGTGTATGGTGTAAGTTGATGGTCGTTTCTTTTTCTTTTTTTTTTTTGTATGTATCTAATTTTCCCAGCACTGTTTATTGAAGAGACTGTCTTGACTCCATTGTATGCTCTTGCCTCCTTTGTTAAATATGAATTGAGCGTAATGGTTTGGGTCGATTTCTGGGGTCTCTGTTCTGTTCCATTGATCTATAGGCCTGTTCTTGTGCCAGTACCAGGCTGATTTGATTATGGTGGCTTTGCAGTATAACTTTATATCTGGTATCGTGACTCCTCCAACTTTTCTTTCTCAAGATTGCTGTGGCTATTCAGAGTCTTTTTTGGTTCCATGTAAATTTTTGGAGGATTTGTTCTAGATCTGTGAAATATGCTCTTGGTATTTTAATAGGGATTTCATTGAAGCTGTAGATTGCCTTGAGTATTATGGGCGTTGTAATGATGTTAATTCTACCCATCCATGAACACAGTATATTCTCCCATTGTTTATATCTTCCTCTCTCTCTTTATTCAACAACCTGTAGTTTTCTGAGTACAAGTCTTTTACCTCTTGGTTAAGTTTATTCCTAAGTATCTTAATTTTTTTGTTGCAACGGTATATGGAATTGTTTGCTTAGTTTCTGAGAATTCATTATTGGCATATAAAAGAGCCATTGATTTTGGGGTGATTTTGTATCCTGCTACGTTGCCAAATTCATGGATCAAACCTAGCAGTTTTGTGGTGGAGTCATTAGGGTTTTCCATGTACAATATCCTGTCCTCTGTGAATAATGCGAGTTTTACTCCCCGCTTTCCGATATGGATGCGAAGGGCAGTTACTTTAAAAGGCCGAGGATGAGGGAGAACCGTAGCCAGCCTGGGACGGAACTGGGGAGCTCAGATAACTGGGAGACAGGTGTATTGATCTTAAATACTTTAAAAGCTGTGCAAACATGCCTCCCTCTCCCCGCCCTGGTCTGGATGGGAGGTGCTGGGTCTGGCCGCCCAGAACTGACTCCAGGTGAGTGCCTAGGAGCGGCATGACCTTGAGCAGGTCAGCCCCTGACCTTGAGCAGGTTAACGGCTTCGAGCACCAGCCTCCGCAGCTGGAGATAAAATGCACCCCCAAACACCACCTCACCCGTGACTGTGGGGAGACAATGATGGATCTCAGGGCTTGGCTTGGCGCCTGGTACACCATAAACCCTCTACGAACGATGACGGCTATTATCATGAATAAGATTAAACAACAAAAGGACGCAGTGTCCTAGGTGGATGCATGTGGACGTGTGATAAGAAACAGCCTTGAGCAGGGCCCCCCCAAGAGGACAGACACCATCTCCGTCCTCACACATCCGTCCCCCGAGAGCAAGGACAGCCGCGGCGGCCCCGGGGCGCCTCTCTATAAAGCATCGTCTCTTTATTTAAGTTAAAACAATGTTCAAGGATGGTTTCCATCTATAAAATGGACAAAGCACAAGCTCTGTACAGCAGTTCTTTTAAAAAATCAACTGGGAAAAAAAAAATTACCAAACTAGATTTTTGAATTTGCAAAACAGACCCACAGACACCATCACCGGAGCGCCGATGGAGGGAGACACAGGAGAGACCGCCATGGGGGGACGGGGGGGGGGGGGGGGGGGGGCCCCCCCCTTGGTTTCAGGGGGGCTGGGGGAAAAATTTTTCTTTGTAAAAAGGGGGGGGGGGGGAAAAGGGCCCCCAAAATACAAAAAACCCCCCCCCAGGGCGTCCCTTTGGGCCACCGGGGCGGGGAAAAATAACTCCCCTGGGGGGGGGGGGGGGGGTGCCCCCCCCCCCAGGGCCCCCGGGCCAAAAAAGGGGGCCCCCGGGCCCCCTTGTTTAAAGGGGGCCCGGGGCTCCGGGGTGGGGGGGGGGGTGTGGGGGGGGAAAAAGGAACCCTAAAAAAATTTTTTTTCCCCCTGGACCCAAATTGTTTTTCCCCGGGGAAATGG